TGAGATTATTTGAAAATGCCATCGTTTTGTTCAGTCATTAACTGTTCTATGAGAGCAGAAAGGGACCAAGTAGAATTTTTTCGATATTTTGGCTATTCCGAAAAGCAGAGGGAACTTTTTAGAAGATATTTCAACGCGAAGACGGGAAGCTTGGGTTAGAGCTTTGAAACGGGGTTCCTTGAGTGAAAGCCAACTAAAAAATGTGAGAATTCGTTCCAGATACTTCCCCTAACAACATGAGTACGTCCCAGGGACGTCCCTGGGATATACCAAGTACGAAGAAAGGATATCCCTAGTACGTCTCAAGAATATCCCAGGGACATCCCTTCGACATAAGAAAAAAAAAGTAGGTCGAGTACGGATTGAACCCGGGACCTTTGGCTTATCAGGCACGCATCTGGCTCCATTGGCTATTGAGCCTCCTGAAGAATTATGTACTGAACAGATTTATAAACAGGACTTAACTACAGAAACCTGAATAAATAAAACTTTGTTAGGATTTGGGTATAATCATTATATCATTCTTGGGTGATTAAGAATGAGGGGCATTATGTACGATTTCTGTTTGCGAAAAATGGTCATTTCTCAAGAAGTTCTGAAACTTCATTCTTTATTTTCACTACGATTATTTTCCGAAAAAAAACAGAAATTTTCAGAAAAATGCAACTTAATACTTTGATGAAATTCAATTACTCTGATTTGAATGGATATCAGATATTCCAGGGACACGAATAGGATAACCTAGGGATATACCGGGCGGGATGTCCACTGGACAACCACTGCGCGACATCCCCTGGATGCCCCAATCATGTCCTTGTACCGCGGGACAAAAAAGGGACGTACCTAGGACATCCCTGTGTTGTTAGGGTCCTAACTAGTACGAAATTTGATATTTGGAATGGCATTGTTGAATTTGGAATTTATAAGAAACATTGGCGCCCTTGCATCATTGGAAGATCGATTAAATCCAGATTGGATACCTAATCAAAATTTGGGTTATCTTGAAAATAAGCCCCAACAAACCTCATCTTCCAGGCATAAAAGATCATTGAAGAGAGCGAAGTATAATACAGAGGTTTGTCTATTTCTATACATAAGGTAATGGATATTTATTGAAAGTGATATATTAATTTCAGAGCAATCCAGATACTTTTCCTGATATCACACATGAGTCAAATGAAGTTGTTGAAGAACAAATTAATGTTGATGAAGATATGCCTCAAGAGATTTCTGCTGCAGAAGTTCATGAGCATACAATGAGTGTTTCTGTGCAATCTGACTTGACTGAAGAAGAAGAACAGCTATGCAGCCTATTTAGAGATCTGAATTATTCAAACACTAAAATCTATTCATCAAGATCGAAGCTCCAAATGTTAGATTTGAATGAAGATTCTTTCAGAAATGATGATAAAAAAACTAACTATTTCACTGGATTCCCAAAGGCAGGAATGTTATTTATTGTACTGGACATAATCTCTCCAAATCTCTCAACACATTTTAATACAATTCTGTCCCCGTTCCAACAATCACTTCTAACACTGATGAAGCATCGATTGAATTTACCTTTTAAGTATCTGTCATACAGATTTTCAGTTACTCCAACAACCATTTCAGATACATTCTACAAATGTATTGATGAATTGTACAATACATTCAAAGATATTGTGTATTGGCCAGAGAGGGAGGCTTTGCAGAAAAATGTACCTTCCTGTTTTGAGAAATCCTTTGGCAACCATGTAGCAGTCGTGATAGATTGTTTTGAGATTTTCACAGAAACACCTTCAAATTTATTGAATGCTGCTCGCTGTTGGTCTAATTATAAACACCATGAAACTGTAAAATTCCTTATTGGAATAACCCCTCACGGTACTATTTCTTATGTATCAGAAGCATGGTGTGAGAGGACCAGTGATAAATTTCTCACAGAAAATTGTGGATTTCTGGATTTTATTATACCAGGTGATTGAAATGTTGGGAGCACGTTTGGAAATACCAGCATTTACTGAAGGTGAAAATCAGCTCCATCCAGCTGATCTTGAAAATACTCGAAATATAGCTACTGTTAGAATACATGTAGAAAGAATAATAGGTTTATTGAAGGAGAAGTACCACATATTTCATGATACCATTCCACTAAGCAAGTTATCTAATAAAAGAAACAATGTCTGTGTATTGGACAAAACAGTTGTAGTTTGTAGATCATTCATAAATTCATGTCTTTGTCTAATACCATTTAACCCTACGTTAGGCGCGCGGTATTTTCCCACGTGTTTGGTCGCACGGTCTACAAACGTAGACCATTTTTTATGTCAATGTATGACACCCAATAATTTCACAAAAAAATGAAAAATATTCATTATGAATTCGATCATGTATACATTCTTTCATAAAATGAATTTTGTATTATTTCCTGAGATTTTTTTCTTGTCATGGAATTAAACCACTAAATATGACTTTTTATTGCTTTATTTGCATTTGGCAATTTTCCTTAAATGTCAATAAAACGTATTTTTCTGTTATAAATACATCAAAACTCGATAGTAAAAAATATTTTCACAAGAGAAAAATAATCATTCTTGATTATGAAAGTGGTAGAAAATTGATGAAATTGTCAGTGGATCAAACAGGTAGTAGATACATCTGTCATATGTTGTTTGCATGCATAACGATTGCATTTCACCCAACATTTTCTTGAAGACTTGTTGCGACTTCAAGGACATACCTGACATTCCGACATATTTCTCCAGGCTTCACAGTGGAGTGGGAGGGGAAATTATCACCTCGAGTCCAAGAAGTGAACGCGCTCGCCTTCTGAGCCCTACTGGTAATGAGGTAATAGTTGACCTTGCCTCTATTTGTGGTTTTATCAGTTCCCAAGCAAATTTTTTGATGGAATCACTTTTAGAGATTTTTTCTTGATGATAATTTGCTTGATAAACGCAGAGAGCATTTATTCCAGAAATATTCAACAGATTGTAGAAGAGAACCATTGACCAACGACGCGTATTTCTGGCGATATTGTAATTTCCTCATAATTGATCAACCAAATCTACAGCAATTTTAGTTTGATTATAATGTGTGATCATTTCGGGTTTCTCCGCATCACATGTTGCTGGATCAATTGCCGTGTCGTGATGCATTGAAGACACCAAAATGACCGACTTATTTTTTTTTTCAGGACAATACGAAACCATTGTTATATCCTCCTGAAAAGCGAAAAGTGAGGTGTTTCCTTTTCCTTGCTTATTTTTTCCACACGTCTTCTTTTTGAGTCAGACATGCTCCTCTGAAATAAAAAAATATTCTGTTCATTATCAGGAATATTCATGACTTATTCCAGGAAAAAATATAAATTATATGATGTTTTATATCAAAACAAAAAAACACGTACCTGACAAAATATGTTACGTTGTAAGGCGCGCGGTCTACAATCGTGTTCGGATGAGTGTAACAATTACAAAAAACCCGCTCCAGTGCACTCTGAGTTCAGAACAAATAGACGCGACGGTGATTGACAGCTACTGAGAGGCGCGCACGCGTACTCGAAACTGTCATCATTCAAATAGGTGTGGTCTACAATCGTTGACCGCGCGCCTAAAGTAGGATTAAGTAATATTAGTTGTTCAACCTTCATGAACTAAATCCAATTTTTAATCCATTCTGAGTATGATTTGTAATCCTCTCATTAGGTACCTTTATGATTTTCAGATTGTTTTGTGATGATAGAAGAAAAATTGATTTTGGATTCATTATTGTATATTCAAAACTAATAATCTGAAAAAATTGGAATATTTTCAGAGTAAATAACATAAATACCTGAAATGAAATACAACATACTGAATATAACATCAATTTATTTACAATTTTTACAAAACTAGACAGTATCTGGGACCTCAGAAATTTGTACACAATCAAAATGAAACCATTTTGTATCACAGTCACCATTTTCACATTTCAACATTGTACGACCATCATCAGGGTTTTTACACAGACACCAAACTACCAACTCACTCATTCCCATTTTTTGTGTGAAATATTTAGCCAGAAGTTCTGGTTTGATGATGGCATTATAGAAATATGAAGCTTTGTTCATATTTTCTGAACAGAACTCATTATCAAGCAGTATTCTTTCTATAAAAGTAATGTTTTTCGACCAAACAACAAAATCACAAAAATTACAATTTGTAACAAACATTCGTAACTGCACCTGGTGGAAATGACAATGACTCCTGTCTAGTGCATATGTACCATCGTTCTAAATGGGACATGAAGATTTTTTCCACTTAAAAGATAGGGACATTTCACTTAAACACACCACAAAACACAACAATCACAATATATTAGTCCATCAGATGATGCACCAAGTTCTGGGTGTTTAATAGAAATGAAAATTCCAGAATTCGAGAGTGTGAAGTTTATATGTTGCTTTTCTACAATGTCTTCATGAGATTTCAGTGCATTTTTTTTCATTTCTCGTCCATAATTCGTTTGTTTAGAATGGAATATAACTTTTTGTGGGTAACATACACCTTCAATCACAGTCAAGGAAGGTTTTTGTATAGAAGTTCTACAAAATGACTTGAAATGAGAAGCTATTATTCGTCTTGTTCTGTATTTGAACCACGTTTCATTCTGAGACTGGTCTCTATTTGTTTCTTCAACAATAGTCACTTCTTCTTCACTTAATTGGGTGTCTATATTTTTGGAGATTTCTACAAGTTCTTCATATGATTCTGAAGAAAACTCCTCACTGTAAAGGTTATGCAAACTTGCTGGAAGATTCGTAGATTCACTTTCCATTAAATCAGAGGCAAATGATTCCATCAACCTACAAATTGCTGGAGAAATATTCAGCTCTTTCAATTTCCATAACAAATCACATAAATCGGTTTTAGTCAATGGAAATGCACTGTTATGTGGCTGAGGTATTATAATTTTGGTTTCTTCAAGCCAGTCCATGTCACGAATTCTCATCATGTCAACATTTTTGATGGGATTGGTCATGTAGCTAATTGTTCAGTACAAGCCATATTTTGTTCAGGACGAGCATGTAAATGAAACAATACTGCTGCTACATGGCTACAAACTTCTCCCAAACCAGCCATGCGAGTACATTGAGCATTTGAAATACTGCTATCTTTGAGGATGATTATCCACACTTGAAGAGGCTTTTCATTGCTCCGTTGAGAATGACGGGCCTAAAAGTGGAAAAGACAATTCCATGAATGCTGAATTGATGTGAAGTTTTATTATTGATCCCTCACCTTTCCACGTGAAACAAATGTCTCATCATTATTTCGTTTTGCTAATACCTGGATAACAAAACCTGATTCGTAGTATTTGTAAGCCAGTAAGCTTCTGTAGGCCTTCAATTGCAACCCAGTATAGTAACTGTGAGAAATGATTAAATAATTAACTAAGTCTATCATGTCTATTTTGGGTAATTTCTCGACAGGGAATGAAAGTTCATTGTCACGAAGTACATATGGATCGATATTATCTATAATTTCGATCTTTTCCTCATAACGGACTCTAACATCACCACCAAACTTAGGTAATAATCACTTCTAGCCATGTTTACCACAGAAAACTGATTAATTCAAATGTTTATCTCACTGAAATACACGACGCTGCAAAATCAATGACATTCTCCACGTGTTCTGGAATGATCTATTGGCATTCATGTTCTGAGTGGGATAATAAGATCTAATCGATTTTGAGGGCAGACACAATAGATCTGAAAAGGTCGCAGTGTGGAGGCAGATAGCCCGAAGGCTCCATTCCGAATCTAAATCTAAATCTGAAGCATGGGAGAGAACAGACAGCAAAAATTTCAAAAGAAATAGATTGCTCATCTTGTAGATTCCTTTGTACGCAAAAAATTTCAGAAGATGACAGGGTGGTCCTCTGTGCAAAATACAGAGGACTCGCGTTTGATGGAAAGAAATAATTCAGTTTACGTCATGTTTTTGTAGTGAACCAAAGACTCGTAGATTTAAAACAGATTCGCCAAAACCAAGAAGAAATGCGAAAAATTACTTGTTCATAAAAGAAGGTGAGAAAATCCAAGTTTGTCAAAGATTCTTCTGTAAAACACGGGCTATATCCAATGAGCCTATTATAGATGCATTCAAGAAAGTAGACGATATTGGTAACTACGGCAGTGTTGACGAGAGGGAAAAAAAGCGCCGCATAATAAGACGACTGCTGAATCTGTGGAAAGGGTAAAGCAACACACTCTCAGTTTTCCTGCAGTGGAAAGTCATTACACCAGAAAATCTAGTAAACGCAAATACCTTGACCCAAAATTGATCATAAAAAAAATGTTTTCACTGTACGAAGAAAAATGTTTAGCAGACAACCACTCTCCTGTGAGTGAGATAACATACAGGCGAATATTTTGTACTAACTTCAACCTCTCTTTTTACAAATCGAAGAAAGATCAGTGCCTCACCTGCAGTTATTATGAGAAAGCTGATCCCCAACATAAAGAAGCCTTGCGAGAGGGTTGGAATAGACATATAGAAATGAAAACACAATCTTTGATGGAGAAAAACATGGATAAGCAGAAAGCAGTGAGTGATACAACATTCATGAGCATCATTTGTGACTTACAAAGTGTTTCACAGGTACCATCATCAAGTGGTAGTCCCGTATATTATCTGAGGAAATTGAATATTTATAATTTCGCCATATACTAGGCTGAAAAGACTAGGGAGGCTTATTGTTATTTCTGGTCAGAAGTAAATGGAAAAAGATGAAAAAATGGATGATTAAGACGTATAATCAGTATCTTCATTTTCGCCATCAGTTCAATAGGTCACTTCTGTATTGATTTGATTCTAGGAAAGGGCAACAAGTACATCAGATCTGGGAGAAGGCATTAGCCAGTGACAAGTTTTTTGCTCCATTGGCTTGTTAGTGTGAAAAATGAGTCTATAATTCTCAAAATTGGTATAGACACTTGCTGAACTGTTTGGAGCAGCCATCGATACAAAAAAAACAATCGATAATTGAAATAATTCCTAATTTCTGGCAATGGAAATTCTACAGATACTGAAAATGCAATTTTCCACGATTTTCATTAATTGACTTAGTGCATTTTCCTTGTAAGCCGACGATATAGACCAAGAAATGACAAACGAAGGGCTACAAAACATTTAGACAACTGACAAAGATACCGTAATACTCACGAGTAGAGACAAAGAACAACAAGGAAAAATCATAAAAGCACTAAGCAACAAAAAAGACATAGAAATTCAAACAATGGGAGGAAAACAACCTGAATTTACAATTACAGGAGTAGTAGGGGCTACATAAACGGAGAATTCAGACATGAATTCATCACCCAAAACGAATCACTACTAAAAGACCAAACGAAAGGAGATATAGAGTAAATTAGGGTGTTATCAAAAAGAACGTGTCGGGACAACAGGAAAGAAAATTGGATTTTAGAAATGAACCCACCTGTATTCAAACTACTGATGAGAACGGAGATAATAACTATGGACTTGATGCGATCATACATTAAAGAAAACAAGCATATATCTATGTGCTTCAACTGCTGTGGGTTCAACCACTCAACGAAGAAATGCACCTTGCCCGCAATCTGTTATAAATGCGGACAAGGACACAATGCCAAAGATTGCACAAGTGAAGAAATAAACTGCGCCAACTATAGAAAGATGAATTACCTAAGGAGAAGACATACAGCAAGATACACAAAGTGCCCAGTATACACCAGGAGAGTAGAAATGGAATCACGAAGAACAACATACCAATGACTAGAAGGAACTAAAGAAAGCAGAGAAACAGAAAAACAGGAAAAAAACACAAGATATAACAAAGAAACGAAGAAGACAAACAAGGAAAAGAAACAAGAACAACAAACAGAAAAACTCTTGAAGATACTTCAATTCAACTTGGAAAGAGGAAGAGCAGCAGATAAACAAATGAAGAAATATATAGAGGAAAACAAAATAGATATAGTGATAATGCAAGATTCCTACCACCAACTGACACCACCACATCAATACAATTCACACAAACACTCAAATAAAGCGAAAACGGCGATATTATCAAAAAACCCCACAAAAACAACCAACCGAATAACAGATATAACATATGATAACACTATAGGGATGAAGATCGATAGGGATAAAGATCGAGACAAAGACAAGACCTATCACAATGATAACTATCTACGACGAACCGGGGTGAACATAAATACAAGATTGAATAACCTCTGAGGAAAAATGAACAGCTGAAGGGCAAAATTATTGTAGGTGGAGACATAAACGCAAAAAACACAGCCTGGAGAAGAGAGATACCGGACCAAAGAGGAGAACTGCTTCTAGAATGGACGATATTACACAATTTCATAATAGAAAACACCACAGAAGACATACCAACATACGATTGCGAAAGAGGACGGAGTTGGATAGATGTAACATCAACAAGAGGCATATAAAACATGTCCAGACACATAGAAAATGAAGAGACACTCAGCAATCACAAATACATACTACTACAACTAAATGTAATGTAATGTATTTATTAAATCCTTCTTACTATCGATACAATAGAATGGACGAGTCAGCACAGCACAGGTAATAAAGAATGCTAAAGTACTAAATTATAAATAATACGAAACTACAAATAGTACAATGGACAAGTCAGAACAGGTGATTAGAAATACTAGAATAACTAGATTATATATGGAAGTCCTAAACAATTATACAAGTATAAGTAAAAGTAAATAGCAGAAGTACAGCACTAATATTTCACATAATTGGACAGGAACAAATGATAAGACAAACAATAACAATCAAATTACAGTGAAAACTCAAATAAAACTGGACAGAAAGTTATCAAATTCTTCAAAATTGTAAAAGCAATTTTGTATCAATATTTTCTTCAGTCTACATTTGGAAACTTCACAATTAGGACTAGCTTTTACATAATCGGGAAGCCTATTAAAGTAGCAAGCTCCAGCCCCAATAGGCGATTTTTTATAGAAAGTGTGTTTTGATTTTATGACTGCCAAATCATTTTTATGTCTGGTGTTATGACTGTGGACATCGCAATTCCTTGTCAGTTCATTTCGTAATCGGTAAATATGGCACAATACTTTTAGCAGATAAATGGAGGTGACTGTGAGAATTTTATTTTCCTTGAATACATCGCGACACGAAGTTTGAATAGGAAGGTTGAATATAAAACGAATTATTCTTTTTTGTAAAATAAAAACTCTTCGGATGTCACGCCCTTGTCCCCAAACGATGATACTATAGGCAATTGCCGAGTAGGCATATGAGTAATACACACTCAAAAGGGTACTCCTATCAAGCATAGATTTCAGAACCGTCAGTAGATAAAAACACTGATTAATTTTCTTACACACATTGTCAATTTGTGCTTCCCAAGAGAGGTTGATATCAAATATAGGTCCCAGAAATTTCACTGTTTCAGATTTTTCAAGTATAGTATTATTCAGTGAAATTGAACAACTTGATGGTGTTCTTTGATTTGTGTGGTATTCAATGCACACTGTTTTCCCAACATTCATCATCAGTTTATTACGATAGCACCAATCCTTGAACTGAATGAGTGTTTTGGCGACCTTTTCAGAAAGTGCAGTTGTCGAGTTGTCCGATATTATTGTGCAAGTATCGTCTGCGTACATGAGAACCTTAGCTTCAGTTAAGTGATTAGGAAGATCGTTGATGAACATTAAGAAAATTAATGGACCAATAACACTCCCTTGAGGAGAACCAAGATCAATGTCAAACTCGTTTGACAAAACATCATCAATTTTGACTATCATCCTTCGGTGTTCAAGGAAAGAGTGGAACCAATCGTTAAGACAACCACGAATTCCAAGAATATCTAATTTTTCTGACACACTAACGTCTTGTCGACTGAGTCAAATGCTTTTGTTAAGTCGAAAAGTAGGGACACCACATATTCACCGCGATCCATTTTTTCATAGATATGCTGGGCATACTCCGCTACGCTGGTTTCTGTGGAGAATCCACTTCTGAAAAAATTGTTGATTGTGATTCTATTGAATGAATGCAGGTATTCTTCAAACTTTTGTGCCAGAACTTTTTCTTTTATTTTTGAAAAAATGCTCGATAAAGAAATTGGCGAGATACACCCTACATTACAACAACAAAAAACCATATTTAAACCTACAAACTCAAATTGGGTTACCTTTCAAGAAAAGCTGCAGAACAATTCCTACAAAAACCTGCCTACAACCTGCAAGAACACATAGTGAAAGCATTGGAAAAATCTTGCACAAAATACACAAGACAACACAATAACAATAAAACATGGTGGGATGCAGATATACAGGGCAAGAGAAGAGAAACAAACAGAGCTAGGCG